CCCTTCCCACCGCCCCGTACCTCCCCCGACTCCCTGGACCCCCACGCCCTCGGCCTCTGCTCTCCCACCGCGGCAGAGGCCTCCACTGGGGAGCTCTGGCTGCCAGCACAGCCCCTGTGGGCTGGCCCAGACCCTCTGGCCGCAGTGGACAGGAGAGCAACAGGAATAGACACACGCAGACATGCTGGGGGGTGGGGTGGGGGATCCACACCCTGGCCATGCTCAGCACAGAAGTGCGTCTACTCGTGGACAGATGGACAGTGAGTTCCATGCAAGGCATAGCAAATACAGCAAAACCTCTACTCAGGGTGGGCGGGCTGTGCCGGCCAGCACTGCGAGGACCCTCTGCGGGGAACAAGGAAGCCAGAGGAGCAGGCAGAGAGCAGGACCCTGGGGTGCTGGGCTGGAGCGATGGGTGTGGGAGGCTGGATCTGGATGGGTGTCGTTTGTTTTTTTTAGGTACAAATACGAAGATGAACTTAGAATGAGGGAGAAATCCCATCTCACGATTTAAATTCTTCAATGAGAGGTGCAGCGTGGTGGGTAAAGTTGGCGCCTACCACGATGCCACGGGCACCCCATATGGGCTGTGGTTCAAGTCCCGGCTGCTCCACTTCCAACCCAGCTCCCTGCTAATACCCTGCAAAAGCATCAGAAGATGGCCCGAGCGCTTGGACTCCTGCCACCCTCAGAGACCTAGATGGAGTCCGGGGTTCCTGGCTTGCGGCTGTTTGGGAGTGATCCAGCAAAGGGAGTATCTCTCTCTCTCCTCCTCCCCCTGGTTGCTGTGTCTTTCAAGTAAATAAATATTTTTTGAGACTCTTTTTGTTAACATGCAACACTTGCACATCCTGATGGGTACAATGCAGCATTTCAATGCATGCACAGAGCATAAACTGATCCAACCAGGCAGCTGGCCGACTGGATCACAGGCTGCACCCTATTCAGGCTGGAAACAGAGGGGAGCCCAGGGAGGGGAGGGGGCTCCTGGTGTGGAGGCGGCTGGGGGGCTGAGTTTTGAAACTGAGGAGGGGCTACAGTCAGAGGTCCTCGGGGAGAGATGCCAGGCTCTGGTCACTACAGGCCCGCAGGATGGCAAGCACCCCAGGACCCTCCTGCGGCGGAAGTGTCTGAGGTGGGGGCAGGGAAGGGCGGGGAGGCTGCTTCGCTGAGCCTGGGGCTCAGGCACAGACTGACAGCACTAGGAGCAGGACAGATGGCTGCCCTGTGGCTGCCCTCCCTCCCCCGCCCGCGGGCCAGCCACGTGACAATGCATCTGGAGCCTCGATCAAGGTGCGGGGTGGGAGGGGCGGGGCAGGGCACGCAGAAGGAGGGAGGCCCCCTTCCCCGGACTGAGCTCAGAGGGGCTGAGCCTTGGAAGGGATCCTGCTCTCTCCGGCGGCCACACAACTCAGGGAGCAGGGGAGCCTGCCACGTTCTCTGTACTCTGCTCCGTTAGAAAGCACCAACCCTTTTGTCTGACTGCGTGGTCTCTGAGGACGGTGGCCCCCGCTCAGGGCTGGCCCCCGCATCCTATTTTGCATTCATTTGCAAGCCAGGCTGGAGCCCCTGGGACCCGCAGATCAAATATTGAACGACAATCTCAACCAAGAGCATCCCAGTGGCTCAGAGGGGGGACCTGGCACCAGCAGCACTGCAAACCCCCGGAGTGACTTCAGAGAAGCAGGGAGCTCACTGGAGCTGGGGCTGTATCCTGAGGAGCACAGTGGCCAGGGGGGAGGAGGTGAGAGGCAGCCAAGGCCCTGCAGGAGACCGATGGGGTGGCTGACCGCCCTGCCTCGCACATCGATTCACTCAGGTGTTCTGGGTGTGCACGCTCAGACCTCAGCGCTGCACCCTCACCCCCTCCCCCCAGCAAGAGGCAGGTGCACCCACCCCAGGGTGGGGCTCCCAGACACGCAAAGACAGCTCCGGGGAACTGAGGACGTGGTGGACAGAGGCAGATGTATGAGGGGCAGGGAGTGGAAGGGTGGGAGGAAGAGGTGACCACAGACCCTGTCCACTGCAGAGCTGGGGCTCCAGCCTCGTGAATGGGCTGTGGCTGCTAAGCACGGGTTCCGCCCTTGTCTGGACTCAGCATTGAGGGGGGGCTCCGTATTGTTCTTTCCTGGCTTCTAACTGCTACAAGGCCTGGCCACAAAGCAGCCGGAGTCACTGGCAACGCCACCAAGGTTTAAAATGCTCCCCAAGCTTAGACGATGCACAGGTCTGCATCATTGTAGCCACGCTGCAGAAGTGGCAAAAGGCATTAGTACCATACAATACTCCCTCCCGGCCACTGACAAAACCCAAGGCAGGCCTGGATACAAAATAGCAGGCACTGGAAGTTTAAGAACAAGCAGAACTAAGCTAGGTATGTGCGCTCTCGCCTGGAAGCGGCAGTCGTGGGACTTCTCGGGGCCCCAGAGCTGCTCCGGCTTCTCCGGGCAGTGGTTCCAGGGGGAGATATTTGTGTAAAAGCCGCGCGGAGGCCTGGCATGTCTTACACCCCGCAGTGGGGGAGGTAAGCGCTTCTCACAGCAGATCAGATGGCAACAGGGCTGCCTTTGTCTCATACAGGAGTCAAGTGGGTTCAAGTCCTGGCTCCGCTTCTGATTCCAGGCCCCTAATGAGCACCCTGGGAGGCAGCAGGCGATGGTTCAAACAGCTGGGTCCCTGCCACCCACACGGGAGACCTGGGTTGAGTTCCTGGCTCCCAGCTTCTTCCTGCCCAGACCCGGCCATTGCAGGCAGTTGGGGAGTGAAGTAGTGCTCTCTCTGTGTCCAATAAATGATTTTAAAAGGAGGAGTAATGGAGTATAGTGTGCTATATCAAACCCCAAACCCTCAAAATAATTGACCTTATTAAAAAAAAAAAAAAAACAGAGGTGTGTTACACAGCAGTACACAGAGGAGAAGGGGAAGTTGGTGAAGAACGCAGCGCTTACGTGCGAGGTCATGTTTGGAAACAGAGGAGGCGGCGGGGGGAGCCTGGCGGGACAGCGCACCCCCCGCGACGCCGCCCCACAGCGGGCAGCACGGGGCGGGGGGCAGGCACCACATACATCTCTGCCCTGACTGCTGCCCTGCCCCCCGCCCCCACCTCTGGCTGCAGCTTTTCTGGGAGCCCCCGTGGGTGGAGCCAGGGGTCCTGGTTCCTCAGCGCAGACTCGGGCTCGGCTGAGGTCTTGGCCTTGGCCATGTTGTCAGGATCTCTGCTCAGGGGCACCCCCGCAGCTGCCTCTGGGCGGAACCAGGTGAGGTGCCTCCTGGGCAGCAGACCCCACGAAGGCAGGGCTCACGGCCGCAAGGGGGAGCAGGAGGATCCCAGACAAGCAAGAAGAGGTGGGGGTGGCTCAGGGTCCCTCCTCCCCGTCTCTCCTCTCTGACTGGCCCTGGCGCATCCCCACGGCCCTGGCTTTGAATGAACCTGGCTCTGTCCCCTCGCCCCTATGAATGGAACACCTGCCGGCTGCAGCTTGTCACACTGGCAGAGTTATTTCTCCATTAAAATGCAGGAGTTGGACCTTTGCCCGGGCAAGCAGCTAAAAATACTGTCCTGCAGGGCACTTGTCACCAGGAGACTTCGTGGCCACTGTCCTCACTCATCAGTCCCCAGGCGAGTCGCACACGTGCCGGCCCCTCCCCGCAAGCACCAGTTAGCAGGCCTGTCTTACAGTCGGGCAAACTGAGGTACGGACAGCTCCCTCAGCGCCCCTGCGTTCAACCTACACGTGTTGGGAGCAGCAGTGGGCGGCCCCGACTCCAAGGAGGGGAGAAGAATCCTTGACAGGAGCCCTGCGCTTCCGTCTGCAGTGTCTTCCTACCCACGCCTCCTCCGAGTCTCACAACGAATCCTTTAGACGGAGAACCGACAGCCGTCTCCACCTCACGGGCGGGAAGGAACCCGGCGAGGGGAAGCGAGGTGCTCAGGTCACACAGGGTCCTAAGGGGCCACAGCACACCTACATCAGAACAAGACTTTCGATCCAAAACCTGCCCGGAGCGGCGACCGGGGGACTGGAGCAAGGGGGAGTGGCCTCACGGCACAGCCGTCACCTGTGACAGGTGCTCCATTTGTCACGCACCCCGCAAGCTTTTCAGGCCAGGACTGGTCACCCCACTTAACAGACAGGGAAACGGGGTGCAGAGGTGTGAAGACGGCACAAGTCAGGAATGCAGCTGGGATCAAACATGAAGGGTCCCGGGGTTGGCACCGAGGCTAAGACGCCGCCTTGGGGGCCCAGGTCCCATCTCAGCGACTGGGTACTACTCCCAGTTCCTGACCCCAGCTCCCTGCTGACGCGTACCCTGGGAGGCAGCGGGTGACGGCCCAGGTGCCTGCCGCCCACATGGGAGACCTGGATTGAGTGCCAGGCTCCGGGCTGCTGCGGGAATTCAGGGAGAGCAGCAGTGGATGGAAGATCTCCGTCTCTGTTTCTCTCACTGTCTCCACCTTTCAAACATATTTTTAAAGACTTTAAGTGTCCTGGCCCCTGGCCCAGAGCCTGAGGGGCTCCGGGATGGGTGGCCGGCCCAGGGTGGCGACTCGGTCCCCAGGGCAAAGAAGTAGTGAGCTCAGCCGCTCCACAACCCCGAACCCGCTCCTCCTGCCAGATTCACCTCCTTTCAAAGTGGAAGGTGCTTAAAACTGCAGACCCATTTTCCACACAAGAAAACAAAGGCCCGGAGGAGGTAAGGGCCTTGCTTAGGGTCACAGGACGGAAACTCGATCCTGAGCCTGGTGCCCACTGCACAGGGTCAGCCAAGGACAGCAGAACTCTCTTTCTGGTGTCAGTGTCTTCCTGGGCCTCAGTTTCCCCATCTGTGAAATGGGAACACTAGCAAAGGCTCTAAACAAGCATCGGGGTCGAGTATTCTGAGGCAACGAAACCTGCAGCAGCGGGCAGTGCCCCAGGCATCTCCCCCCACTGCTTGCAGTGTCCAGCACGGAGCACGGCCCACCGCGTGCTGCTCCAAACACCGCACAGAGGGACAGCTTCTTACAAAGGCATTTATTTTTCCCCCAAATCCTCCCCCCTCCCCGGTTTACAAAAGCCCTGAGTCCCACACTTAAATAAGAAGCCCTCCCGCCTCCATTCGTGGGGTAGGGGCGCCATCGGCCTCAGCAGTTCTTGCTGCCAGGGCTCGGGGCTGGCCGAGACAGCGGGAGGCGGCTTCCCGGCCTGGAGTAGCACCGCGGGGACCCCTCTTGGCTCTGCCCCATCCCAGGCTGTGGCCAGCGAGGACAGGCCCCACGCTCGGCTGTGCGAGGTTGGCAGGGCCCTGGCTGCCGGCTCAGGCCGCGTCCCCCTACTCCTGCTTTCTGCTCCCATCCCAAGCTCCGGGGAAAGATTAGGGGACGAGATGGGGGTGAGGTATCCAGGCAGCTGGGGGCAGAGGCAGAGCTGTCCCCAGGAAACCACAGACCCCGCTTCCAAGTGGGGGGTGGGCAGCAGGGGTGGGGTGGGGTGGGGGACTGGTCTTCTCACCGGGGTCCCCAGTACCTAGCCCGGCGCCGACACCCCTGTCACCCCGTGAACAGTGACCGAATGGATGGCAAACAACAAAAGCTGCAGTCGGGGAGAAGCAGACCCCAGACCCAGTGTGACCAGCACAGGCTGCCCCGGGGCAGGGCAGGCAGCAGGGAGGGCACCGCGATGGTGACCACCAGGGGGCGCCCGCACGTGTTCCTGCACGTGGCCGTGGGTCCGCCCCCCTGCGTGCGGGGCCGGGGTCAGAGCGGGGCCGGCTAGGCTGCAGGCAGGAGGCAGCCCCTAGACCCTAGGAGATGCGGGGCCGCTGTGGCGGGGTGAGGAGGTGAGAAGCAAGGCAGGGGGTGAGTATGAGGAGGAAGGAGGCGGGGCCGGCTCAGAACGCCCTGTCTTTTGGATTAAAAATAAAAAAGGCAGCCAGGTGGTCAGAAATAAGGTGGTGTGGTCTGGGCCCTGTGTCCCTAAGAAGTAAGGCGCTGGGATTGTGTCGAGGAGCGGTAAGGCAGCAGGACGACGAGGGCACAGTGTCACTCACAGGAGGCACAGACCTGGCCCAGCAGGCCCGTGTCCCCGGGAGAGAGCCCGCCCGGGGCCGGGGGCAGCTGCTCCCGGGGCTCCGGGGTCAGGCGATTTCATCTGCACTCGCCGTGCCGAGAAGAGAAGGAGAGAGAAGCGTTAGCTGTCCAGCTGCCAGAAGTCCCGCTCCCTGCACACACTTCTGGGGGCCGCGTGGGCAGGACGGACCCCAGCAGTCCCACGGAAGCCCTGGGCTGACCGGGGCTCTCGCAGCCCAGACCTGGGTACCGGAGGCAGGCCACGGAGACTATACTCGCTGCACCCCTCCCCCTACACGCCTCCCTCTGCTGGGCCCCCTGCCCGGATGTCTCCCCTCCACTTCCCATCTGCCCTGCTGCCCTGCTCTTCAGGGGACGCCCTGCCCCTCCCTCTCTAGTTAGTTCTTGGGCTCTGCTGTCCCCATACAACTCGCGGCCGCTGGCCCTGTGGTCGTCCAGCGTGGCCAGGGGCTGGGGGCCAGGCTGCCTCACTGGGCAGCAGGGACGGGACGGCCACTGCTTTGCCCTCAGGGCACGGAGAACACCACCTGCCCGCTGGGTTCTGAGCTGCAGGCTGGGGGTGTCTTCTCTCCCGCGTTTCCCAAAACAACTGCAGATGAGGTCACAACACAGAGCCCCGTGGCTGCTGGCACAGGCTAGCAGGCGCCAAGGACCAGGGACACGGCCACTCCCCCTGAAAGCTGCATCCATCCCCTGCACCCACTGCAGTCTGAGGTCCTGGGGCTCCCTCTGTCCCTTCCTGGCCCAGGCAGGGCGCTGGGGGCCCAGAGCCACGGCTTGGATCTGGAGCAGAAGCTGTGCCCACAAGGCCGAGCGCAGGCGAGGGCACCTGGCTGCAGGACTCGGGGTTTCAGGGTGCTGCCGGCCTCTGTGCTCTGCAGCAGCTGGGACCCGGGTTCCCCGCCTGCTGCCGGCTCACAGGGTCTCCTGGGAGGGAGCCTCAGGTCATGGGTGAAAGGTGATGACCCCTGCCCACCCCCCCAGGCTCCTCCACACAGTGCACGCATCCCAGGCCCCACGTGACTTTACCTTCTTTGCTTTCAGAGTGCTTCAGAGGCCGCAGGGCTGCCAAAGAGAAAAGCAAGGAGTCCCTGGTAAGGGAGGGGGTGGCGGGACAGAGGGAGGGGACATCACAGCGCCGGGAGAGGCCCTAGGCTGCTCCCCAAGGCCCCGTCCTGAGTCCCAGCTTCCCAGGGGTTTAGAGCGCCTCTCTCTGGGCCTCAGTGCGCTCTGTCCACTGATGGGGACAGTGGCTCAGTGAGGTGGAGATGAGGTCGTGCCCTGAGCCCACTCTACATACCTTGACAGGTGCACGTGCACACACCCTGAGCCCACTACGGGTCCCTCCAGATGCGCACGCGCCCTGAGCCGACTCTACGTACCTCGGCAGGTGCATGCGCCCTGAGCCTACGCCGCTCACCTCCAGACGCGCACGCGCCCTGAGCCCACTACGGGTCCCTCCAGATGCGCATGCGCCCTGAGCAGACTCTACGTACCTCGGCAGGTGCATGCGCCCTGAGCCTACGCCGCTCACCTCCAGACGCGCACGCGCCCTGAGCCCACTCTACATACCTCGGCAGGTACATGTGCCCTGAGCCCACTATGCTCGCCTCAGCACGCGCACGCACCCTGAGCCTACGCCGCGCGCCTGAGCAGGCGCATGCGCCCTGAGCCCACTCTACATACCTCGGCAGGTGCATGTGCCCTGAGCCCACTACACTCTCCTCGGCACGTGCACACGCACGCGCTGTGAGCTCGCCTCGGTGTGGGGAGGAGCTACAAGAGGCTGGCGCATTTGCAGGCCGGCCCAGGTGGGCTCAAGACTGACCAAACCTCCAGTCCCCCTCTTCCTCCTCCCTCCCTTCTGCCTCTGAGCAGCAAAAAATGAGGCCGGATCCCAAGGCTGTCTCCATGCCTGCCACCCAGCACCGACCACAGGCAGAGTATTAATTGGCATAATTTATAGCAGTCCCAGGTGTCAGTTGCCTGCCTGCCTTCTGCAGGGGTGGGAAGGGAACTGGTGTCAACCGGAACGTGCCTCTCCCAGCCTGGCTGTCTCTGGAAGGGACCCCCGTGCTGGGTCCCAGGTCTGCAGTGGCCCCTTCCCGTGACTTTACTGATGGTACATGCAGCCCAGAGCCGCCGAGTCTCTCGCGGGAACTGGGCTACCCCGGGCTGTTTGCTGACACATGCAGTTCCCGGCTTCCGAAGGCACGACTCAGGACTTTGCCACTTTAGATGGTGGGAAAGTGAGAGGCGGTGGCAGAAGCCATACTCCAGGATCGGGCACTGTGCCAAACAGGTGCTTTGTTGATGCGGTGTTCCCGGCTTGGGTCAGTGTGCCGGGTGCAACCATGAGGGAGCATCCCAGAGACAGGGCTCCATTCCAGGCTCCAGGTCCGGGACCCGGGTCTTTCTGCACAGTGTCTCCTTTAACTGAACCCAAGCAACCCGGGAACCTGTTATGACGCCCATTCTGCGGATGAGAAAACTGAGGCCAGAGGGGCCCAGCAACTTGGCTGAGGGCCGATCAGTGTCTATGAGCAGGAACTGAAACTCCCCTGTGTGCTGAGCCCCTGCACCCATCCCCGGCAGTCACAGGGCGGGGTCCGTCAGGGGGACTTGGCCCTGGCAGACAGGGGCAGGCCGGCAGGACAAAGGAAGCAGCGACTGGCAGGGACTCGGGGGCAGCACCTTGGGGCCTGACCTGAGCCAAGAGCTGACCCCCAGGCTTGGGCAGCCTCAGGGCCGGGACACACCCCTGCCACACCTGGAGCAGAGCCAGTCCCTCCAGGCCCCGCAGGCCCTGGGCCGTGAGCTCCGAGCTCACTCACCGGTCTTGGAGCCATCTCCATCCCCGTCCTGGTCCTCTGCCCCTGGAAGGCAAGGACACAGCGTGAGCCCCTTCTCAGCCCGCCCTGCTCTTCCCGGGCTCCGAGGGTGGGGCCTGGGGTGAGAGTGTGCGGCCAGGGCAGAGCCCGGCCGCGCCTGCGGGAGGACGCGCCTGCGGGAGGACGCACACGCAGCCAGCCTGCAGCCCCCTACTCACTGCCCGTCCCATCACCGGCACCCTCCCTCCCACACCCGCCCTTCCGGCTCGCTCTCCAGCCCACCCAACTGCCCGCTGGCCAGGGTGTGGCTGGTGGCTCCTCTCGGTCCCCGACGACACGGGGTGCTCGTGCCCAGTTGGGTGGGATGGCTTCAAACGGTGGGCCTTTCAGAGGGGTGGGGGCCTCAAGGCTTCACGTGTAGGGGAACCCTTCCCCTTCCCGTTGTCTTACTCAACCAATCCTCCTCCTCCTTAAAAAGACCATGAGGCATGAAGCCGCTTCCGCAGGGGCCTGCGCACACACGCACACCTGCACACACACACCTGCACACGAACACACACCCGTACACGTATGCACACCCACACACCCACGCGCACACTTGCACAAGCGCACACCCCCACACCCGCACACATGCACACGCACACACACCCGTACACGTATGCACACCCACACACCCACGCGCACACCCCCACACCCGCACACCTGCACACACACACCTGTACACGTACACACACCCGTACATGTATGCACACCCACACACCCACGCGCACTTGTACAAGCACACCCCCCACACCCGCACACCTGCACACCCACACCTGTACACGTATGCACACCCACACACCCACGCGCACACTTGCACAAGCACACCCCCCACCCGCACACATGCACACCACATACCCACTTGCACAAGCACACATGCACACGCACGCACACCTGCACACACCTGCACACACACCCGTACACGTATGCACACCCACACACCCACGCGCACACTTGCACAAGCACACATGCACACGCACACACACTCTCGCACATGCACGCACACCTGCACACACCTGCACACCCACTGCCTCTCGCACTCACCGGCATTCTCCTCCTCGCAGCTCTGCTTGATCTTCCTCCAACACACAAAGGCCAGCGCCACCAGCAGTACCACGAGACAGACAGACAGCCCCACGGTCACCCACAGGGCCTCGGGGGGAAATGTCATGGCCTGCCCTGGGAGGGGTGAAGAGAAGACAGCCGTGAACTTCAGCCTCCACTCGCCCCACCCCCAGTACACCATTGGTCCCACCCCCAACTCCCCACTGGCTCCACCCCAGCAGAGCTCCACCCCTGGCACCCCACTGGCCCCACCCCCACGTGCCACTGGCCCCACCCTCAGGACACAACTGGCCCCTCCCCCAGCATATCACCAGCCCCACCCAAGTGTCCTCCCCCACCTTCCCATACTCCCCGCCCCCAATCCTCGGCCTCAGCCTGCCAGTCTTCCTGGGGGTGGCACAGGGCCCCTAGCACCTGCCCTTCTAATTTCACTACAGGAACCCCCGGCCCAGCCACGCAGAGCCTGAGCTCCACACAGGCTCCCTCCAGCCCCCGTGGCCGGCTGGCCATCCCCTCTCCCACGCTCTCCCCCCAGCCCGAGACTCCCCGACTCCTGCGGCCAGCAGCCGGGAAGCCACAGCCCGCGAGCCGCTCCCAGCTGCTAAACTGTACAGCATCTCCGTGAGAAATAGCAGTAGCCGCGCAAGAGGAGGAGGAGGAGGAGGAGGAGGAGCAGCAACAGAGGTGGCGCATCACCCGCTAAGCCTTTGCCCTGGCCCCGCAGGGAAGGGAGGGAGGATTGTGGGGAGCATGGGAAACACTGAGCCGCCTGCTCTCGGCTTCAGTCAACGGCAAGGGAGTGCAGGGGCCCAGGCGTGGGCCAGCGCCGGCTCTGTCCCCCTAACGCTCCTCCCAGAGTGCCCCAGGCAGCAGCACTGCCGTCCACCCCGGGCTGCAGAGGCCCTGGCACAGGTGCACGTGGGGAGTGACGTGCTGGGCACCATGGCAAAGCTGCTGCTCTGGGCTCTGGAGGGGCCCAGGACCCCCGCGAGCAGGGGAAGGGGGTGGCCAGGAGGCTCGGGCAGGTGCAGTCCACAGAAACCAGCCCAGGAAATCCAGGCGGGATTTTCCCGCAGGCAGCGCGGGAGGGACAGAGCTATAGAAACACTCCCTTGGGGGGGGATGGGTCTCTCTCTGAGTGTTCCCCCCCCCCCCAGGCTGGTGTTCCTGTGCTGGGACTTGGACCAGACTTGCTGTCACTCTCCCAGGAGGAGAGGACAGAGCTGGGACTCCGACCCACATCTCCAGGCCACAGGTCCAGCGTCTGCCCCCTAAAGGGCCCCTCCCAGGAGACTCCGCCACCTCCATCGGAAGAGGGAGAGACCCGGTGGCTGGACGCAACCTCTGCATCCCGCAGGTTTAACCAGGAGCAAAGCTGCCTGGAGCAAAATGCAGGCCAAGGGCTCCAAAGTAGGCCAGCCCTGCTGCAGCCAAGCCGGGAGAGTGGCTGGCGGGCAGCAGAGGAAGTAGGCCGAGAGGCCAGAGCTGGATTCTGATCCCGGCTCACGTGCTCACCGCAGGGTGCTGAGCCAGGTCCCCGGCCCCCGAGGAGGAGCGCAGACAGGCCAAGAACACAACATGCAAGCGGCTGCATTTCTCATTTATCCAGCTTCCCAGCAGGTGCGCAGGGTGGGGGGTCGATGCGCAGCCTCAGGGGGGTGCCCTCTGCTCTCATGACCTCACCCGCGAGGTGTGCTGGGCACCACTGGCCTCAAAGCAGCCACCTTAAATGTCAGCCACTAAAGTGCAAAAGAGGGGCCAGCGCTGTGGCACTGGGTCGAGTCCCGGCGGCCCCACTTCCCGTCCAGCTCCAGGCCAAATGCACCTGGGAAAGCAGCAGAGGGTGGCCCAAGTGCTTGGGCCCCTGCACCCCCGTGGGAGACCTGGATGGAGCTCCACGCTCCTGGTGAACCCGCAGATGGAAGATCTCTCCTTCCTACTAAGTCTGCCTTTCAAATAAATAAATACATCTTTATAAAAAAAAGTCTAAAATAAAGGATTCCCTCTGTGAACGCTCCTCCTACAATCACGTTTACACTTGGAAGGCCTTATGCACGGCTCGCTCATTGCCCACCTGCCCAGGTGGGGCCACTGCCACCACCCCCGCCGTGAAAGCCCCACGTTCCCCGGCCCACCTGCTGTCTGACACACCTTGCTTTTTCCTGTGCGCATGCCAGATCGCATGCTGCTCTCTGCAAGAAAAAGGACACCCAAGAGCCCAGGGCAGAGACGCCCCGCCCCCCCCCCAGACAGCACAAACCGAGGAGTCCGTGGGGGGGGCAAGATGGGCTCAGTCTTGGGGGAGGATGGGCAGGGGAATCAGCCCCTCCAGGAGGGGGAGGAGGGAGGCTGAACGGCTAGCGGGCAAGCCTGGCAGAGCGGCGCTAAGCTCCTCAGACGCCAAGGTCACGTCAGGGCCAGGGCACTCGGAGGCAGAGGAGGTACTGTGCAGACACTGGGGGCCGGGTGGGCATGGCGGGTGACCTCATGGGAAGAGGACAGGGAGCTAGCCAGCCAGAACCTGCCTGCAAAGCTCAGATGGCCCAAAGGGGTGGGCTGGCCAGCCGGTCAGAGCACAAGGCCTGGGCCTCTGAGAGCCAAATGCAGATACAGACCCCCTGACTGTGGGCCAGAGCCCGCTTCACAGCCTCCCCCGACCCCTGCCCCCTGGCCCAGCCCCCGCCAGGCACAAGCGCTGCCCACCTGGGCTAGGAACTGGAAACCAGAACCGGATATAGCCAAAAGGGAGAAGCTACGGAGTGTCTGACCACAAGGGGGCAGCAGAGACAGCTCCCGGCCAACCCCACTGTCCCAGTACTAGTCCCCTAAGGAGCAGATGTTGACCCTGGAGGGGAGGCGACCTGTGGAGGCCCCGCTGCGTGTGTGTGTGTGTGTGTGTATGTGTGTGTGTGTCCAATCACAGGGTGCCAGCGAATTCAGCATCCTGGTGGGGTGTGTGTGTGCCTGGGTGTGTGTGTGCCTGGTGTATGTGTGTGTGTGTGTGTCGACCTGGGAAGGCCCAGCTGCCTGGGGTGGGTGTATGTGTGTGCGTGTGTGTGTCCCGGCTGCATGTGTGTGAGGGGGGCCAGCTGTGTGTGCATGTGCATGTGTGTGTGCCCAGAATCAGAGGGTACCAGTGAATTCAGCAGCCTGCTGGGGTGTGTGTGTTTGTGTGTGTGCCTGGGTGTGTCTGTGTGTGTGTGCCTGGTGTGTGTGTGTGCCTGGTGTGCATGTGTGTGCCCAGAACCAGAGGGTGCCCATGAATTCAGAAGCCTGGTGGTGTGTGTGTGTGCCTGGTGTGTGTGTGTGTGCCTGGTGTATCTGTGTGTGTGTCTGGGTGTGTCTGTATGTGTGTGCCTGGTGTGTGTGTGTGTGTGTGTGTGCCCAGAACCAGAGGGTGCCCGTGAATTCAGCAGCCTGCTGGGGTGTGTGTGTGTGTGCCTGGGTGTCTGTGTGTGTGTGCCTGGGTGTGCCTGTGTGTGCCCAGAACCAGAGGGTACCCGCGAATTCAGAAGCCTAGTGGTGTGTGTGTGTGCCTGGTGTATCTGTGTGTGCGCCTGGTGTGTGCCTGGTGTGTGTGTGTGTGTGTGCCCAGAACCAGAGGGTGCCCGTGCATTCAGCAGTCTTCCCACCCGGAACCTCCTCCCGAGGGAAGGCACGCCCTCACCCTGGCGCATGCCCCGCCTCCTCCAGGTGACAGGCTACGCACACCTGAATCACACTAAGGACGTCACGCTCCATGGTTTGATCCGCTCACGAAAGCAAGAGCCTGAGACACTGGAGCGCTTCGGTCAGGGTCAGCCTCGCCCTCGCCCTCGCCCTCGCCCTCGCCCACCTTCGCGCCTGGCACCTGCCAGCCCCGCCGCGCTCACCTGTGACGGTGACCGAGCCGTGCGCGTCCTGCCGCAGCACCGGGTTGCGCACCAAGCAGCTGTAGGTGCCGTTGGCGCCCAGCACCACCCGCAGGACGCTGCGCACATCAAACAGGCCCTGCTCGTTCGCCATCTGCGACGTGGTCACGTTGCCGGTCAAGGGCGCGCCCTGTCCGTCCTGCCACAGCACCTCCGCCTCCGGGTAGCCCCGGTAGCTGGAGCACGTGATGGTCACGGTGTCCCCGGGCCGCAGGTCCTTGTTGGGCTCCAAGGTCATGCTGGGCTTCGAGTAGGGGGCTGGAGGGCGGCAGAGGGCAGGGGTCAAGAGCAGGGGCCAAGCAGGTGCAGGCATCAAGGGCAGAGCAGGTGCAGGGGGGAAGGGGGCGTGCAGCCGTGAGCTCAGCGGCCGGCCAGCACTGGCGCTTGGGATCTGGGGCAGTCAGGGCAAGGCGGGCTGGGGGCTGTGCGAGGGATGGGGCGCCCCCTCCCGGTGCTCACCCGCCACCTGCAGGCTGACCGCCGCGCTGCCGAAGTCCCGGATGCTCACGAAGCAGGTGAAGCTGCCCTCGTCGGCCACGCGCACCCGCAGCAGTCGCAGGGACGCGTTGCCCTGCGCCAGCAGCTCCGGGAAGAGCGCCGTGCGGTTGGCGTAGGCGCTGCCCGGGTCGCTGCCCTGGTCGCGGCCGTGCGCGAAGCTGTGCACCAGCTGCTTGGTGTCCGTCAGCTGCCAGATGAGGCTCAACTGCGCCAGGCTGAAGCCGGGTTCAGGCGCAAAGGAGCAGCGCAGGGTGGCGTCGGTGCCCACCAGGGCCACCACGGGGTCTTCGGGGACCTGGACCTCCACGGCTCCTGGGGCGGGGCGCCGAGGGGTGGGATGGTGACTCCAGGGTGGGGGGGAGAGGGGCGGAGTTCTCTTGGCTCCCCCCTTCCCTGTTTCTTGAGCACCTACTATGTGACCAGCTTAAGGGTTAGGACATGCAATGAGATTGAGACTAACGAGTCTAACGAGACGGATACACAAATCCCACTACCACGCAGTTAGGGTTTGAGAGGAGATGGCAGCTTTTCCAAAACCTGCCAGGTCCCCTGCGCCTGTGTGTTTCCCCTGAGCACACACCGCTTTTAGAAGCCGAGAAGGTAGAATTTCTGCGGCCAGATGTTAGAGTGGCTGTCCCTGCAGCAACGTCACACGTGCTGTCTCCTTTTTCCTAAATAAGCGCGGCTGGTGTTTATGCGACAAGGGATACCTCCTTCCATCAGGCACTGCGCTTTAAAGGGATGGGGAGGAGCCGGGAGTTAAGGGGAAGGAGAAAGAGCCAGGCCAGTGTGAGAGCGGGGGTGGGGCATGGGAGGGTCTGGACGGCAGGGCGACCGGGGTAAGGGTTTCCTGCATAAGCACTGGGAAGTCATGGGGCGCCTATGATTCTGAAACCCCCGCTGGAGCTCCTCTGCTGACGGTGGGCTGCCCAAGGGCGGGTGGGGGACCAGCTAGAGGGCTACGTCGGTGTCCCTGTTAGGAGGAGTGGCTTGGCTCGGGAGGGGAGCCAGCAGACAAGAGCCGGGGACTACTGGGCAGATTCAAGGCTGACTTAGGAGGGAAAACCAGCGGGGTCTGCTGGTGGGTTCCAGGTGAGGGGCAGGCAGGGCACGAGAGACCCCACCCGGGGCCGGTTCCTCTGCTCCCCGCTAGCCCTCTCCCCTCCCCAGGCCGTCACCGCTGCCTCCACTCCAGCTCTTCTTCAGAGCCCTGGAGCTTCTGAGGCGGCCAGCGCTGTGCCTGGGTAGTGGCTCTGGGCACCTGCACGGCAGGCGCATTCTGAATCCAGGCAGATCAGCCTGTGCGGGTGGCGCACGGCGCCCAGGGGCGCTTTCTTTCATTCAGAGAACGCCACATCGCAGCTAGTGCTTTCACTGTAAAACTGCACACGGGGAGGGGCCGCTGCAGCCGTCCCAGTGCCCGGAGACCCCCAAGGGTGCAGCTTCCCGGAGAAATCAGCAGCAAGCTTGGGGACGTATGGGCGCCACCTCCTCGTGGCCACAAGGTGGTGCCCCGCCGCCAGACACTCAGCTTGGTGAGCCCCGTGGGGGCAGGCGTCCGGCTTAGAGCAGAGATACAAATTGGGTTGCGGATACTGTTATTAGGATATTGTTATTAATGTAGCTGAGCTACGGGGCACCTACTCTGCAGCAGGCCCTCATTGTGGCCCCTGTGTGAGATGCTGGGGACAGGAAAAACGTGGAAGAATGCAGTCAGGGTGGGGGGAGGGAGGGTGGGGGGCTATTTTTTGTAAGGAGCCAGCAAAACCTGGCCAAGGAAGCGTCCCTTGAGCCAAGACCTGGGTGGACTGAGGGCTGCAGTCCTGCGGGTGTCTGAGGGGGGTGGAGACTCAGGCACAGGGGGCAGGACGTGCCAAGGTCCTGGGGAGGGGACACACAGTGCACAGGCACCTGCCTCCTCACTCACACACAGAGCTCACGTCCCATTGCATACACACGGCAAAGCAGGCCCAGACCCCGCAGGAAGAAATGAGCGCCCCAGCTGGACGGGGCTGGCTGGGCAGGCGCCCTCTCCCGAGCTCACCCTTCCCAGGGGTTCCCGCCTCCCCCTCACCTGCCAGGCAGAACCACAGCACTCCCAGGGCGGGGCCTGCACGCAGCATCTTCCCGGGAGGCGCTGACGCAGGCTCTCTGTGGCTGCCCCTGCCTGGAGGAGGAGGAAGCGAGGCTGGTCTCAGACGTCTGGCCCAGACCTCCCCACGCCTCAGCTCACCTCCCCGGGAGAGGCCAGCAGGGGGAGCCACCGGGAGGCAGGGGGAGGAGGAGGAGAGGCCAGCCCCAGGGCGAGGACCTGCCTTGCTCAGTGTGGCTCCAGGGGAGCAGGTGGGAGCTGGGCTGGAACAGACTCAGGGATGGCTCAGAGGTGTGAACTCTGTCTTGAAGGCAGGGAGCCAATGAGAGATCTTGGACAGGGGAACAGACGTGGTCAGAGCTGAGCTTTATCAAGATCAATGTGACAGCTCCCGCAGGGTAAAGGTGAGGGGTGGACAGGCCGGACGGAGCAGGTCAGTGCACAGGACAGCACTGAGGATGTAGGGAGGAGGGGGCCGCAGGGTGACCGCGCTCCTGAGCCTGGGAAGCTGGGTGGGCACCTGCTGGGCCAGGGGCCAGGGAAGGGCTCCGTGGGGGGACCAGGAAGTTAGCGCAGGGTTTGTGCAGACTCCCAGGGCAGACTTCCAGGAGGCAGTGTGTGTGAGTATGGGACTGCAGCTTAATACATGTGCACTGTGGCCAGGAGCCACGGGAAACGGAAGTGGCCATGGAGAGCTGACCCCCAGTGCTGGAGACAGGACTCAGTGACAGGCAGTCTGTGGCCACAGGTCAGACCTGAGCTAGGGACCCTGGATTCCCCTGGGAGCCAGCCTGCTCCCAATCCGGCCACCCCAGGGGTGTCCAACCTAGGCAGGCTGCACACTCCCGTGCCCTGTAGCTCCTGCCCCGTGGCTTGTGCCACGTCCATCCTGCTCCAGCCCCAGGGGGTAGCCTGATGCCAGCCAACAGGACAAGCACCCAGGCCACTTCCTGCCCGGACCCTGGGACACAATCGCACCTGCCCCGGATGAGTGAGTTCATGAATGTCGCATTAAGTTCCAGGGTGGCACAGCTACAAGGAGCCCCGTCCTGCTAACCCTCCTGCCCTTCTGCGGAACAAGCCTCACCAGCAGCCATGAGCACCAGTTCCAATCATAGGCGCCCAGCCCCAGCCTCCCAGTCTCAGCCAGCACCCCCCCACACACACACACCACCCACGTGCACACAGGCAGCTGGGCGCAGAGAGGCCTCAGCCAAACCGGGTGCATCCTGGTCAGCCCTCCACAACACACACACACACACAACCACACGCCAGCTGTCCCCGGCGGGGAAGCCCTGGGCAGCCACTTCCTTTCCAGACGCTTCCTGTCCCAGCCTGGCTGCCTGCTGAGTCAGCAGCTTCCGGCTCCATTCATCAAGGCACCCTCAGGGGCCACCACATCCTGCCCCAGAAGGGCCACCCTAGCCACAGGAAAACCCCTGCTGGGCCTGCCCCGCCTCCCGGGATTCCTCAGATAGGAGTCTGCTCAGCTCTCGCCCTCATTCACAAACCTCCCGTGGCTCCTTTCCTGTGACTGCCTTCTCCATATCCCACACGGACTGCCGCCCCCAGGGCTCACCTCTGAGGGTCACCTGGGAACACCTGCCACCCTCACACATACGGGGGAGCAGGGAGCTCCTCTCCTGATCAGACTATGGGGACCCTCCCCTAGGGCGGGCAGCCCTTCCTCTCCCAGTCTCTGGACCCAGGAGGGCCTGAGGCCACCGTGGAGAGGAGGCACGAGGGTTCCACGGCACTGGCACCAGCACCGGGAGTCTACCGTGCCAACAGCTGGGCCCCCCAGGCACAAGGACAGGAGGGAGAGACAGGGGACAGGCCTGGGAACAGGAAGCCAATGCCACCTCCCAGTAGGGACCTGCCTTGCAGTCAGCATGTGCAGCCCCTCCCAGTGAGTCAGCAGCTGGCCCTCCCTCCCCCTCCCCCTCCCCCTCCTCCTCCCTCTCCTCTATGCTCATCCCAACCAAAGGTGGGAAAGACCACAGAGCATCCTGGGCTTCTGCAGAGCAGCAGAAGTGAGGGGCCAGACCGCCCTTGGACTGCAGAGACAGGAAGTGCACGAGTCCCCAGCAGACAGGAAGTGCATGAGCCCCTGCAGGGACAGGAAGTGCATGAGCCCTAGCAGAGACAGGAAGTGCATGAGCCCTAGCAGACAGGAAGTGCATGAGCCCCAGCAGAGACAGGAAGTGCATGAGCCCCCAGCAGACAGGAAGTGCGTGAGCCCAGATGCAGACAGGAAGTGCATGAGCCCCAGCAGAGACAGGAAGTGCATGAGCCCCCAGTGAGCCCTCAGCAGAGACAGGAAGTGCATGAGCCCCCAGCAGACAGGAAGTGCATGAGCCCAGATGCAGACAGGAAGTGCATGAGCCCCAGCAGAGACAGGAAGTGCATGAGCCCCCAGTGAGCCCTCAGCAGAGACAGGAAGTGCATGAGCCCAGAAGCAGACAGGAAGTGCAAGAGCCCCTGCAGGGACAGGAAGTGCATGAGCCCCTGCAGGGACAGGAAGTGCATGAGCCCCAGCAGAGACAGGAAGTGCATGAGCCCAGAAGCAGACAGGAAGTGCATGAGCCCAGAAGCAGACAGGAAGTGCATGAGCCAGAAGCAGGGCCACAAGGAGGCCCCGAGATGACCCAAGCTGCATCCTCATGAAAACCAGACTGTGAATAAACACTAGGCAAGATGCCCTCAGCCTGCAGACGCTCAAGAGGGGCTTCTTCCCTGACCTCCGCCCAGACCGCCTACCCTCCCCCGCCTCCCAGTCCCTGTGCAGGGCTCCTGGGCAGTGCGTCCCGCAAAGAGGACAGGAAAGGCTAGAGGCACGCAGAACCCTGCAAAGACGTTAAGTACCCAGATCCAGCTGTGCCTGAAGCCAGCTGCACACCGACACTGCCCAGGCACTTGGGCCGAGCACTGCTTTCCTCTTAAGCCGTGAGAGTTGTTTCTGTTTCCTGCAACTGAAGAGGTCCTTGAAGAGAATTCAGTCACTCTCTGTCATTCATTTAACTATCCACCCAGTGCCTGGGAGGGTCCCAGCAGGCAGAGAGGGCCCAGCCACACGCAGGGCCTCGAGGCCAGCACAGCTTAGCAGTCTGCTGTTGAGGGCACAGCGAGGGCTCCCGGGGGGCATCGCAGGGACAGGATAACCCCAGAGGTACATTCTGACGGTGCTGAGCAGCTTCCAGGGGACACGGGCTGGGGGAGGCAGCCCCACCCGGGCCTGGTGACACCTGTCCTGGCACTGCGTGTCTGTCACCTCCTGGAAATGGTAGAAAGTGAGCCCCAAGTGTGGGTTCTCACCCCAGCTTGGACACCTTGCTATAAGGTCACTCCTACCCCTCTCTGAACTCGATGTTCTCATCTGTAAAATTAAGGCTTGGGCGTGGGTGTTCAGCCTCGTGGTTAGGACGCCCACACCCCACAGTGGAGCGCCTGGGTTTGATCTCCAGCGCCAGCTCCTGACTCCAGCGTCCCGCTCATTCCACCTTGGGAGGCAGGTGATGGCTCCGGCGCCTGGGTCCCCTGCACCCACACAGGAGGCCCTGACTCCACTCCCGCTCCCGCTGGAGCCCTGGCTAGTGCAGGCATCTGGGGGAGGGAGCTACCTTTTCCTTTCTTTGACTTGCAAATAAAAAAGAAAGTTTTTTTTTTTTTTAAACAAGAAAGTGTGGCTGGATTCTAGAGGCACTTCACCCCTGCCTTACGCTTTCTTGGGCCCTATCGCGCTGGCTCAGGCAGCTCGCTGCTAACCAAGGAGCTCGGAACGTGCAGCGACTGCGGCAGGAAGCAGGAGCTGCCCCACGCCCATCCTCCCCTCCTAGGGAACCCTGTTAGACACGCGGTCACGCAGCCAAGGACTACAGATCCCAGGCTCCCTTACGGCGGGGGTGTGGCCACGGGACTACCTCCTGGCTAATAGGATACGTGCGGCTTGGGAGTCCCGGTCTTACAGGTGGGGTACACGCTCTGCGTCTCCCTGCCCCCCACCCCTGGCTGCAGCAACAGGGGTGTGCAGCCTCCCACGACCACACTGCCGAAGGCCACAGGCACCGGGGCACTGCAGAGCAGGACAGGATCCAGCGCGGCTGTGGTCCCGGAGGGCCACGCAGGTGAGAAGTGAGCATCTACCCGTCAGTCCCTGCTATTTTGGGTTCCAAAGCATCTGAACCAAGTAATTTGGGGAGCCGCCGCCCTCCCTCCATCCCTTTCTCTCCACCCAGTGAAAATCGCCACTGTTCGGAGCCACAAAAGGAAACCACATCTGAAACAGGTCTCCCAGAACACAAACTGGAGGCTTCTCACCAGAGCCCCCGGTGACGGTGTCGCGGCGCTGGGGGACTGTGCGTGGGCAGGGGCGGCGCCGCAGGCTGGGCCCCTGAGGAAGAGGGGGAGACCTGGGACTGGGGCTCGGCTTTGGGGCAGGAAGAGTCCCACCCGCCGAGCGCAAGCCATGGCCTCCCAGACTCCCAGAGCTGGGGCTCAGCACACACGGTGGGTGGGGTGGGGCAGTGGTGATGGAAAGAGAGGCCCCAGGACAAGTGTGGAGAAGTTCACGGTCAAGCACCAAGACAACAGGCCTCACTGGCCACCCCCTCCCAGGGTGGGCACCTTCCACCCGCGAAGGCAGCCCACTCACAGGGGCGGAGCTCACTGGCAGGAAGCTCTCACTTCCGCAGAGCCCAAATCTGTCACTCGACCCAGCCCACCTTGGCCGCCAGCCAGCCCCTCCCTCATCCACACCGTTCACCCCAACCATTGGTTAAGACGCTGCCTGGGACGCCCGCCTCCCATGTCAGAGGGCCTGGGTTCGAGTCCCATCTCTGCTTCCTGCTGATGCGCACCCTGGGAGGCAGCAGGTGTTGGCTCGAGTACTTGGGTCCCTGCCACCCACACGGGAGACCTGGACTGAGTTCCCAGGTCCCGGCTTCACTGCACCAGTGAACGAGAGCTCTCTCCCCCCCTTTCAATTACATTAAAAATTCTTTTAAAAGATTTTATTTGAAAGACGGTTACGGGGGGGGGGGGGGCAGGAGACAGAGAGAGAGAGAGAGAGAGAGAGA